GCCCCCGGGCCCCCGCGCGACCCGGCCGCAGGTGCAGCGGGCGGGACCCGGCCGCACTGGGCTTGGGGCGAGTGCTGGAGCCCGCTCTCTTCTCCTCCCCCAGGACCCCAGCGCCGGGCAGAGCCGCGCGGGAGGCGATGGCGGTCCCGTTCTCCAACACCCACCTCCGCCTGCCGCGGGGCTTCGCAACCCTGCTGGAGGGGCTGGCCAGAGAAGTCCTGAGGGAGCAACCTGAAGAGATCCCAGCCTTTGCAGCCAAGTATTTTGAAGATCTGCTGAAAAAAAGAGAAAGTGAGTGTATAATCAACGGGGATTTTTTCTAACAAGAAGCTGCAATGAGAGGCCTGAGCCAGGGGAGCTGGATCCTGTTTTCGGGTCATCTGGACAAATTCTGCGTTTTTGTCCAGCTCTCTCAAATGAAAGCTTAACACTTCGTTCCCGCTTCCTTCCTCGCAGGTCTGGCAGGGCTGCAATGGGTCGCGTCCTCGCGGCCTAGAAACGCCGTGCCCCCGTGTCCGAGTACCACGTTCACACTTGCCCTTCATGATGCGTCTCCCTCCCGTGGTTGCTACACACGTTAATATCAATACACCAACAGGAACAACTCACCGCTAGCTGTATGGCTTAGGGTGCTCTCTCCATCTTCTTTGTTGTATCTTCCCACTTAAAGCTTATTATTTCTCTGCCCCCGTAGTCATTTCTCTCCTGACTGCTGTTTACACTCTTCCTCTTGTAACTGATGCTCTGTATTTCACTTTGGAACATGATAGGTTTGAGGAGGCAGTCTAGTCTCACTAAGGTTCAGATGTGTTTAGTTACAGTTTGATGCACTCGCAGGCTGAGAACCGCGTGGTTTCATTATGTTCTCTGCTTAATTTTTTTTAACATGGAATACATTGCAGCCCATGGTAAGTGGTGACTGCATGGTTATCACACAGGGGAGACTCGGCAATGGGGATTGTTCAGGGGGAGCACAAGAGGGCATCCTTCACTGGAGGGGACCTTGCTTACTCCTCTTGTTTAGGACACCAGAGCCACATCTCCATTCCTGTGGGGTGAAGTCCCTGTTGACTGTGTCAGCAGCCCCATGGGTTAATTATCTCTGCTGCAGGGTAACCGCTCCTGGGCATATTGACCTTTCTGAGGGAGCTTCCATATGACATGGTCCCTCTTGGTCACTTCTCATTCCCTCTGGAAGGGTGTGATAGTCAACATTGAATTGTTTGTGTTGGCGCTTAGCATACACCAGCCTCTCTGAGCACAGCGTTGCCAGGCCTTTGAGTTTGTCCTGACTTGATTTAAGCATGGCTCTGTGCCTACTTGTTGCATGCTTGGGGGCTTTTGAAGGTGACCTCCATGACCTTAACCTTGGCCTAGTGAGAATGCTGGAAATAGCATTTTTTTCTCTCATGTCCAAGGTTGCCCTGTTCATCTTTGTATTCCTGTCATCCAGCTGTCACCTCAATGGGCTCGTCCCAATGAGCATGCACTTGTGCTTTGCGACACCTCAAACGCATTTGAGGTGCCACAAACCACTTGCAGCTCATGTGCACCCATTTGCTATGCTGCTAATTAGCAGTGTGGCAGGCTTTTTGACACTGGGAGATTCTGGTGTCAAAAAAAACCCAGCATTAAAAAAAAAGTGGTGTGGCGCACACAGCAGCGGTGTGCACCACCAGAAACCAGAACCTGGCTGGCCAGAGCCATGCTCTGGCTGCTGACCCGGCTCCGAGTGGCTGGCACTGTGCCACTGCTGCCCCAAGAGGCCTCCAGGACCCCAGGTAAGGCTGCTGGGGCCAGCACAGGTACTGGCCCTAGCCTCCCTTATCCCAACTGGGTCACTTTGACGTTTGCTGGAGCACACATGCAGGGATGTGCCTGAGGACAAATAGCAGCGGCACAAATGTGTCTGTTATTTGTCCTATGTGAAACATGCGCCCCTGCACATGCGTGCTTGTCAGGGTGCACCCAATCAGTGCAGTTTGCCTAGAGAGATTCCTTTCTTAATTCTTATCTGGCTTGAAAATTTTAGAATAAAGAATGAATATTTGCTTCTATTTTCAGAAACCATGTTTGACCCAGCAGAATGGGGAGCTAAATTAGAGGACAGGTTCTACAATAACCAAGCTTTTCAGGTAGGCTGGAGCTGCAGCTCTGGGTGGGTCAGGGAGGGGCCATCTAATTCCCTTTCCATGTATAAACCAGAAAACCAGGAAGCTCCCCGAACTTTTTGAAATCTCAGTAAAAAATGAGAGTTCTGCACATCTGCAGAATAAGTTGGACTAAGCTATGTTTTGCGCTATGGACAAGACCTTGTTTCTGTACAGTAGACCTAGTCAGAAATAGCAATAGTGTTCATAACTTTGCTCACTACTAAATATGTCCTCTTATGAAGCAGAGGTGCAATTCATGAAACATCTTCCCCCACCTGTAGATAACCTCTCCCTAGCAGCAAGCCTTCTGTCTTCCCAGGTCTCTGGGAAATGCAAGGCAAACTTTGTTCCCTAAATAGCTTTTTGGGGTCGTGATGGAATTCTGGAGCTCCAGGCCCCATGGCACAAGGAAGGTTCTGCTGTTATGTATAAGGATGATCCTTTATCTTGTATTAAGAAATGATCTTAACAGGGCCACATGTGCATGTTGAACAGGAAAGGGAGAGGTCTTCTGGGGTCGTAAGTCATCAGAAGCCCCTTTTTTCTGTTTTTTCCAGAAGACTGAATCTTTGAAAGATGAGTTGAAGGAGTTGTCAGGGGAGAACGCTCTGGTTATGGAATCTGTAAGTAATCTACAAGGGTCCGTCTCATATTTACTTGGCTGTGATTAAGGCTGTATCCTGTGGCACATCAGAGAGCAATATGGGCAGCATCACTTCTGGCTGCCTTTGTTGCCTAACCAATGACCAAGTTCCCATTCATGGCAGAGTCAGTTGATGGTGGACCCTGGAGAAGGTCAAAGCAAAGCTTGAACTCATGCATCTGTATCCACAGTGAAGTAACCTAACTGTTCTGTCACTATGCCCTTTCTGAGCTCAGGGACTGGTATTAAATAAGGGCCAAATACTAGTTTTCATAGGCAAAACTCTGACTGAGTCAGAGGGAACTCTGCCTGAATACAGATTTAAGATTTTACACTAAAAATAATCCCCACACTGATTATGTCTAATGCAAAGATATATTAAAGGTGACAAAACTCATTTAGTTTCCCACTCACCCTGTGGTTCACATACAGCTTCCAAGATGCCTTTAGGAAGTAGCAGATTTCAACGACTGCACATTATGCAGATTTACTGTAATTTAAGCATTTGCTTCTACTACAACAAAAATATCAACCCATCAGCTGTTCTCAGAAACCATTTTATGTGTGATTTTATTGCTTTAATGAAGGAGCTTGATGAACAAGACCTCTGTGAAACAGGCATCAAGGAAGCAGAAGATAAAGCTGCTATAAAAATCCAGAAAACCTACAGAGGATACAGAGCCAGAAAAGAAGTGAAGAGACTGAAAGAAGAAGGTCAGTGAGCTCCATGGAGTGAGTGGATTAGATTTGCCAGCATCAAGATTAGATGCAGGTGATTGGCATGTTGGTATTAGGAGAAGATTTATTTTTGTTTATTAAACATCACAATTTTAAAAGGCAGGGGAGTGTTGTGTTATCTTTGGGAGCCTGTTTGCAGAGCTGCGGGTTCAGGCTGTCACCAGCACACTTTCATTTGGATGGTAAACACAAGATTCTTCTGCGTTTGCGTAAATCACAGAATTGTTTCTATACAATATTGGATCTAGAAGCAGACAGTCCTGGACCTTTCATCTGGTCTTTTATCTGCTTTGTGTTTTCTCACTGTATCTGTACTGTCCTAGAAGGAGGGCAAGATAGAGAGGAAGCCCTGCGTAAATGTGCTTTGCATCCCTACCATGGGTGCACATGGGTGCACGTGCACCCCCTGAGATTGGCTATGTGCCCCCTGGAAGCGCCAGCCGCGAAACTGGAAGTGCACTTCTGGTTTCGCTACTGGCTTGGAGATTGGCTGCTGGGGGAACCCCCCGGTTGGCGATCAGCCACTGCCCCCCCACCCCAGTCGGTGATCTGGTGCCCTTCCAGACTCTGGAGGCACCAGTCGCCCATGATCCCTACTTTCCATTGCACCACTGTTCCCCTTTCTGGTGTCTCTTCCCTGCATCTGCACGCTATGTCTGCTGAGCTGTATTTTAGATCTTATTTGCTTATGCTGTGCACAACTACAAAAAACCCACTAAGATCTGTTTTGAGCATTTGCAGGGAGTGGAAAGATTCTGGGCAGGCATACTGTACACAGGGTTTGATTCCCCACTTTCTTGCATGTTGTGTTGTCATACTTCATGCATGCACAGTGGGTGTTTGATGCTGCCCAGATGGAAGATTAACAATGCACACACCCCTGGCATGGTACCTACCCAGGGGTAAGGTAGCAGGAAGCCAAGAACATCTCCTTTCTTCACCAGGTCACTAATCTGCAGCCAGGCCAGTTGGGCACAGTTCCTGGTTCCCACCTAATAGCTCTTTGGTACTCTTAGTGACTTGTTTTGGCAAGTGTCTGTTCAGTTTCTATTAGAGCTGTAACTGGTCTTTTCATTGTCATCCTAGGCTCAGAAGTGCATGCTCTTCTTGCTAGGCTTTCAGACTAGTACCTTTCACCAGCACCAAACTGGGAGGCTTTTAAAAAGAATGCTTCTCTGGGGACACAACCTGGCAGAATCAGTACTGAGGCTGCCACTTTGTCTTGAATCAATAGTTTAAAAATACCGTAACACAAAATGGAAAGCGATTGAAGTACAAAAGCTCCCTGCCAGCCTTATGCCCTCTTGGGATGGAGGATTATTTTATCAATTGGGATCAGCACACTTTTTAATGAGAACTTAATAAATTGACACTACTAATTGGGTGTTATTTCCCAAGGTCTCTGCAGTTATTATCATCTCTCACCTGAGAGTTCTTATTCACGGTGCGACTTTCAGGCTAAGAACGCTTGTGTGATTGTCTTGAAAGGCCCCTGCCCTACCAAAGCGTCTGAAGGAGAAAGAAAAGATATGTAAATGTGCACGTCTTTGAATGATATTTAAGCTCTATTTTTAGTTGTCTTACATCCCTGGAGGTTGTCACAATTTAATACAGCTCCCCATTGGAAGGAGGGAAATGACATCTGCTATTATTACAACCCTATGAACATGCAGGATAGGGTAAAGGAGGTGCTGAGATGCCTCCGTTAAAATATTTTACAATTTCAGAGTAACACCTGGCTGTGTCACGTGCAGGAAAATCAACCTAATCTGCATGAGCTGGTGTCTGAGTTGGGTAACAAATTCTACATCGCTGCTTTGGTTCCCCAAAATGGCCAACAGGCATCGGCATGATCGTGAGCTTAGTTCTTTTGAAATACACATTATTCTACTTGTTTGTAAGGCTCTAGATTCCTTTCAAGCTTATTTTATGAATTGACATGAACGTTCTAAAACTTATTCCAAACACTGAGAATGAAGCAGCAGTGATCAGCCCTCAGATCCATGGCTTCATTTGGAAAAATTCTGGGACCTATTTTTGACGGCAAAATGCCATGGGGTTCAGTGGGGTTCCTCCTAGTTTTGCTCGTGTATATTGGACTAGAATTGAGCAGGTTGAGTGTTCGATCTACACGGTCTGATCCTCTTACCTTGTCTCTTGGGTAACCATCTACACCAGTACAAAGTAGGTGAGAAGTGCACTGACTCAGGTCTCTACTCAAAAAGGCAGTGGCAAACCTGTCCGCCCACACCAATTTTAATCCAGCTATCTTGGTACTGGTAGCAGCGAGTATGCAGTGGAACAGACTTCAGTGCAGACTAGCAATTGGAGTGTGCATCCTGGGTCCCCTGTAGCCTGCTCTGAAATCCAATTTTCTCTGTGCTCAGAGTGACTGGTACTGGAGCTGGGTGGATTATAACTAGCACAGTATGCTGGTCTGTGCTACAGTCTATCTCTGGTGGTTATAAAGAAAGACTAAGTGGTTCATTCAAGAGTACATAGGAAGCCTGTGACAGAGCAGGAAATTTAACCGAGTCCGCCTGAGTACGAGGCAGGAGCCCCAGGTGCTGGGCCATCCTTGACCCACATGAGGCAAAACGTGTGGTCAATGTCAGTGCAAGTGAAGGATAGTCACTGTTCTAAAGGCCGTGTCCCTCCTTTCCAGTGCAATTCCTTTTCTCAGTGTAAACTGGGAGTGTCCTGAGTAAGACAGGAACAGCAGACCCAGAATACCCTCTCCTTGTGGGCAGTAAGCAGACTATTGTCTTATCTGCAATGGGAAGTTAGGACATAGTTATCTGGTTGGATTTTGCAGTCCACTAATTGTTCTCCACTAGCTCCCCACATGGGCGCTCTAAGACTTGTCTGTATTATTTCAGCAGCAGATCTCAGGGAGAAGGAGACAGAGGATGCCCCATCCATACCCTGCCCATTTGAGTCTGCTGGTGGACCCCAGAGCTATAAGTTCATCTGTGGGGCTGCTCTGGCTTCCTGAGCCCAAATCTCTGGTGGGCCTGCAAGTGGATGCTGGGGACACATGGAGCAGCCTGCTGGGTGAACCTCTATCTCTGGAGTGTGCCAGCAGAATCTGGATGAAGAGGGCTCAGTGCTTGCTTCTATGAAATCTACCCCTGTTGTAGCAGAGACAAGTGCTTAGTGTGCACAGAGGGCCTTAGTGCAAGGAAGCTGGCTACAATTTTGAATGTACAATGAGCTACCCAGCACCTAATATGTGCTAAAAGTGTCCATGTGGGGAATTGGTAGAGTAGCTACTGCACAGTAAATTCATGCTCAAGCGTTCTGCTCACCAGCATCTCCATGTAGACAGATCCTTAATCTGCTTGTTTTTGCCTCCAGTGTGTTACATTGGCATAAAGCTGGAATCTGGAGGAGAATCAAGCCTCCTACTAGTTGAAGGTGCCTTATGCAGAAAACAGCACTGGAGCTACACCCACAACTGGGGACACGGGGGCAGGGAAAAAATTATACAAACAGGCAGGAAGAATGAAGTAGCTGACGTAAAGCATCCCTGTTTTTCCAGCTATGGTACTGTGCAAGGCTCTGACCCTCTAGGATTGCCTGCTGTCATGCTGTTTGTTGGGCAGTGGAAAACTGTTTTCGAAGGGCTATCTTCCAGTTCTTTTTGAATGCTGCTGCCTTCAGCTAGCACTGTTCTCTAGCCTGTTTATGAAGGAATTGTTAAGCTGTTTGGCATTAGTGCCATTTCACCCACCCGAACTCTTCTTTCAAACCACACAGCACTGGCTTGTTTTAGTGTAAATATGAATTTCATCCTGTCTCTGGTATTTTCCACACACCTCTGTATTGTTCTGAGCCTCTTCCCTCCTTTAACTCCCTGCTTTGTATGTTACCCACTGGGTGCATCTACATACATGCTTTACTGCAGAGATGGCTAATTAGCTCCACAGTAAAGCATCACCATCTACATGCATGCCAGTATCAGGGTGCAGTAAATTAATTACCTCTGCCATGGGATAGTCTCATCAGGGACAATACTATCCTACAGCAAAGTAATTACATGCACTAAACCACATGTAGACCATGATGGGCTGGCTGGGGCATGAGGGTGCTAAAGTGTCTGCCACCTACCCCCCGCATACTTTAGCACTCTCATGCCCAGCCAGCCTTTCCACCACCTGATGCTGCCACCCGGAGCACAGGGCTGCCCCCTGAGCCTGCTGTCAGCCCGGGGCTGCTGCACCCCAGCTGAAACTGCTATGGTCCTGAGCACACATGCAGACACTGCACCCAGGAGCAGCTGACTCAGGCTCAAACTGCTTCAGAGTCATTTAATGGCACATATAGATGTGCCCACTTACAGGTATAGTCTGGGAACACAGGAAGGCCAGCGATGGAATTTCCTTGTTCTAGTTTTGAATCTGCCCCAGAGGGCAGTGGTACAGTATTGCTTCCTGACTGCATGGAGCTGTCTCCTTCTACCTCAGGGCAGGCTGGGTTTTGTAAGAGACACAGAAATAGCAGAGTTTCTCCTACAATGAGTGACTAGCCATGTTGGATGGTTATACTGCAAGTGCTGCCTTGTTGGCTGCCTGAAAGCCTGTCTGAGTAGCTGTCCATGTGCTCTGAAGCTCCCCCAGTGAAGGCACTGGTAGGCCACTGGGGAGCAAGTGTCCCACTAGCAGAAGCTCACATGCTTTGTACATGGTTCTGCACAGTGAACTCCTCATAGCACAACCAGTTGAGCAGGTCTCTGTCACCCTGCAGAGAGCCAGGGAAGGCAACCTCTCAGACAACTGTGCCAACAGTTCCCCAGGTTGGTCCCATAGGCTTGCTGGTGAGTTACAGACTGACTGGTCCCTCTATTCCCTTGCTTTGCCTATACAGAAGTCTAGATTCAGCATAGAACAAAGGAGACTGGTTGTCTGCAAAGCAGGTGGTGGGGGTGAGCAGTGGAAGCTGTTTCTACTAGTAGCCATGGCTACACGAGAAGAGAAGAAAAAGGAGAGTGTAATCCTTGTGCTGGCCAGAGGCAGACCTGCCCTGTCAGGAAGTGCAGGCTTAGCATCTGCACACTTCTGCTGAGGCTCCTCTACCACCAGTGCCACTTTCATTTC